TTTTGATTAATCAATAAGCACGCTGGCAGAATGCAACCCAGGTCATTGATCATAGCTGCTCGGGACTAAATTTTCAAAAATGAATAAGTGCGCAGCGAGTAACAGGCTCAGATCCCTGCATCTAGCTGCTCAGGAGGTAATTTTAATAAATTAATAAGCTAAGTGGCAGTAAGCTCCCCAGGTTGTGACGTTAAACTCTTCGGAATTAAATTTTTGATAAATTAACAAGTGCACTGGCAGTAAGCCCCCTGAGTTATTACGTTGAGCTTCTCGTGATTCAATTCTTAATAAATAAGTAAGTGCGCTGGCAATACGTGCCACGAGTCATTGGGTTCAGGTGCTCGGGATTGAAATCTAATAACTTAATGAGCACGCTGGCAGTAAGCCTCTTGGGTCATTGTATGACGGAGTCATTTTTCTCTGACCCTATAGCATTGAGCGCCGAAACGCGTAATCAAGGTGGAATCTATTTTGATTTACAAGAAGCTAATAAAGGTCCGGGTCTGTGTGTTTCATGTTCTACGTGAGAGTAATCAGATACAAGGAGTAGCGCCAAGGAGAGAAAAGAAGACATAGCGCCGAAGAAAAGCCCAAGAATGTGTAGTTCTAGTATACAAGGGTCGACCTGTGTAAGGGCGTATTATAAAATATTTGTAATTACCGCGCCATTGTGCTAATCTAGTATTGCGTCATCGACGAAGATTGTATGTATACCTATGTATCTGTATTAAGAGTACGTACTATAAATTGCATCGCCTTCGAGTGTGTGTGAATGATGTCCTGGCGGTAAGATTCAGAAGTATGTACGTAGATATAGTGCGGTAATGCGCGAGGCTGCACTAATTGGTGGGCCTAACGCGACACCCTTGGAGTAGCATCCGAGCGAACCAGAGCTTCCAAGTTTTTCGCGTTTTCGGGAGGGATCGAGAGAATCGAGAGAGAGAGAAAGAGAAGAGCAGAATTAGCTTTCCAAGCCAACCGGGGACAACCTTGCGACCGACGACGGAGGAGCCAAAATAAAGTGAAGTGTTCGTATAAATCATTTACCTCGTCTATTGTCGTGCGTGTGTTTTTCCTTCCTTCCGAATTTACAGGTCGCGCCTCGTTTCTCCTTGGGAGAGTAGTCTGATCCCGACGGACTACCACCGGCGGGACCTCATCAGGCACGAGTCTCCTGGGCCAAGCAGCGGACATCGTGAGCGTGGGGACAGGGGTTTTCCGCGTTTCACGATACAGCGGACTTTGGCGAGAAGATCTTTGTAAGTGTCTTTGGACGTGGTTTCGAGACCGCCCTGGCTGCGACACCCTATAGTGTCTTAGGGCGCGAAAGTGCAACGTCACAATTGGGTTAAGCTGCTTGGGAGTTGATTTTGATAAATTAAGGTAGCTCCGCTGTCTACTGCTCTAGTCAATAAGGAGAGTTTCACTTGTGTATATATATGTACATACGTCCATCAGTGTTGGTATTCTGCCACCATCCATCATTTGTAACCGTGAAGCTAATTTTCACGTTTTTCTTGGCAAATATCTTTCAAAAATTTCCTATTACCAGCATTTTACATGACAGGATTGAGGAGAACAGAACTTTTTCAACAAGTACATCATAGTTTGTCTGCTCAGGTTTTTTATTGTGAGTTGGAAAATTCCTGTAAAACTGATATTTTGATGCTCTACCATATAAGATCGTGTCAAAGGTACAACTTTGAGCTAGAATATCTCGAGATTTGGCTCTACTTGGAGTATACACAAGGACACCGTTGGATTCAGTGGATCAAAATCTATTAAATGAAACATGTTTCATTTCGTAGGTTTTCGAAAGGGAGCTACCTTAAGAAGCGTGCTGGCAGTAAGCACCCTGGGCCATTGGGAATGAGCTGTTTACAATTAAATTATAATAAGTAAAAAAGTGCGATAGAAGTAAGCACCCTGTATCATTGGGCTTACATGGTTTTAGAATTTGATTTTCATGAATAAACAAGAACGGTGGCAATGAGCGTCTCAGGTCGTTGAGCTCCGCTGCACGAAATTAAATTTTTTTTAAATAATAAGCACGCTCGCAGTAAGCACCCTGGATCATTAAGTTTAGCTGCTTAGGATTTATATTTAACAAAATAACAAGCTCACTGGCAGTAAGCCCCCTGGATCACTGGGTTTAGATGCTCGGGATAAAATTAAATAACCTCATAAGCGCGCTGGCAGTGAGCGCACTGTATCATTAGATTTAGCTGCTTCGGATTTAATTTTTATAGAATAACAAGCGCGCTATCAGTGAGCGCCCTGGGTCATAGGGATTATCTGCTCGTAATTCAATTCTAACTATTTTATGAGTGCGCTGGCAGTAAGTACCATTGGTCATTGGGCTTAGCTGCTCGGGATTTAAATTTAAAATCTAAACAAGGGCACTGGCAGTAAGCGTGCTGGGTCAGAGTTAATTAGCAGCTCAGGTTTTATTCTCAATACAATAATAAGCGCGATGGCAATAAGCGCTATTGGTCATTGGGTCTAGCTGCTCAGATTTTAATTTTAATAAATTAATAATCACGCTGGCAGTATGCCTCCTAGGTCATAGGGTTTAGGTGCTCGGGACATAATTCTAATAGATTCATGAGCGTGCTGGCATTGAGCGCCCTTGGTCATTGGACTTAGCTACTCGGGATTTAAATTTAATATCTAAATAAGGGTGCTGGCAGTAAGCGTGCTGGGTCATAGGGAAAGAGCTACTCAAGATTTTATTGTAATAAGTAAATGAGCGCGATAGGAATATGCGCGCTAGGTCGTAGGACATAAGCTGATTGAAATATATCTATAATAAGAAAACGAGCACGCTGGAAGTAAGCGCACCGGATCATTGGGTTCAGGTGCTCGGGATTTCATCTCAATAGAAGAACAAGCACGCTAGCAGTAAGCGCTCTGGGTCATAGTGTTTAGATGCTCGCGATTGATCTGTAATGGATTTGTTAACACGCTGGTAGTAATCATCCTGGGTCATTAGGTTTAGCTGCTTGGGATTGAAATTTAGTGAAATTATATGCACGCTGGCAGGAACTGTACTGGATTATAGAGGGATAGCCGATTTGGATTTAATTTTAATAAACAAATAAGCGCGCTAGCAGTGATGGCTCTAGGTTGTCGAGTTTAGCCGCTTGCGATTCAATTAAAATAAATAAATAAGCGCTCTGACAGTCAGCGCATCAGGTCATTAAGTTAAGATGCTTGAGATCTAGGTTTGCTAAATAAATAAGCGTGTTGGTAGTAAGCGGGCTGGCTGACAGGGTATTAAGTACTTTGTTTGATGATTTCGGACTTCGCGCGCTTGGTTTACAAGTTTGATGAGTTTGAATGACGCGCAAGTGTTCGGCCAATAAGAGATCTTCTGCGCAGAAGTTTGTGCGAGTTCTAAGTTTGATATCGAAGCACGGATTGCATTAATCTCGTTTGTTAACAATGAATTTCAGATAAAAAGTTTATCAATATTAAAAAATTTCCATCGATCGTTTTGAATTCCATTGAATATCTCGAGGGTCCTTTTGAGAGAAAAAATTAATTAATATACATCGTAAAAACTACAGAAGGTTATGTTGTCACAGGCTAGTGATAAAGAGCGACGACATACTTGACTATAGAGAGCGTCACATGGAATATAGTAAGGGTTTAAACCTCCTTAAGTCGAGTGTTATCTTACTAATATATAAAGAAAAGTCGCTACAACCGTTGTAATCGCTAACCACAAAAACTACTAGACCGATTTTGCTGAAATTTTGGATACCGATTCTTGACACTTTCTAGATGGTTTGAGTATAACTTTTTTCTTGAAAAATTTAATAACAGTAGCAATAAATAAGCTCAAAGTTTTGCAAAAATACGCCAGCTTTTCACGTTAATTCAGTAGGATCCGCTAGGTGGCATCGACATAAAATCGAAGCTACCTGAAACAGAAATAAATAAGTGTGGTTATAATAGGCCAGAGAGTCTCGGAAATTTCTGCTGTCGTTTACTGGCAAGTCCTAGAGCTGCATCAAGAATGTAAGTGGTAGTCGTGCAGCTGGGTATCCCGGTTACCGACGACGCTCTTCTCGAATGGGCAAGTCACCTAGGTCTACTTTCAACCTGAACCTCCAGGATTGACGAGTGCCACCAATAAAATATTTATTCTATAACCGATAACGTCTCCACCGGAATACCAGGAGACATGTTTAGCCAGAGCACAACCTGCTTCAATACTTCAGAGTTATGTGGCTGTACCACAATCTGGCCTGGTGCCGTCAGAGAATTTTTTACTACAAATGTAAGCCAGGGAAGCCCTGAAAAGTACGGGCAGCCACAGCGGCCAACTTCTGAGTGGTCATTCTAACGGCATATCCAGAGAGCAGGTAATCTCCAGGCCCACTTTCCCGACTAATAATGTGCGGTTGGTTATCCGGGAAACGACCTGAAGACGAGATATTCTTTGGTCATTGACGTACCTCTCTCAAGCACGGTCTCCGTAAGCAGAGACTCTAAGGGTAAAAGTCAAAGTATCCGTAGCCAGCTCTATAATCAAGAATAAAAATATGGAATGGCTGGAAGTATCACCACTGGCTCCTTTCAGGGACATCATGAGTATTTACGTTCCCTACTCAACCATCAATCTCTCTGGTTCTTTTAAGGGCCACCTAAGTTTAAACTACAAGTTTAAATGTAGAGATTAAACTACAGGACTTTGTTGCTCTGGTAATAAAGTTGTGAGATTAGAGAAAAAAATTTTTTTTTAATATACATTTTTTGGGAGTTTTAAACTTCAACAGCTTTTAAAAATAGCCTTTTTCGTAAATTATACGGAAAAAACTGCAAATTAACGGCCCCTTATGGCCAATGATTATTTTATGTCATAAGGAACGCATGGTGCTTTTCAGCATAATTAAATTTTTTTTAATTTTTACAGCTTATTATTTGACCAACTAAACTGTACGGATTCCGAACAAATATGTTTTTAATAAGAAGATTTTTGAAGATCACATCACTCAATTCAGCCGTAAAACTATTACCTTCAAGTATTGCAAGAGGTCTATCTTGAAACTAGGTTCGGCAACCTTTTTCCTAATCTTGATTGGCAGAGTGTTCCTTAATCTCGCCGCTTTTACAGCATAGCTGCATCGATAAGACTCGGTTTTAGCCCAGGGAACTATCAGGTGAAAGCCGGACAACCTTTCGGAGTTTTCAGTACGAGCAGCTCGGAAATTAATGTTGACATCAAGATAGCCCGGAACTTTAGAGCATATGTCCGAGACAAGTAGACAAACGGTGACATAGTTGATCCTTCCTTCTAAGCGAAGTATCGAGTGCTTATTGTACACAGGCGTAATATGGTGCCACTTAGACGTCCCATCTACAATGCGCAATGCAGCGTTTTTGCATCGCCCAAACTTGCGCCTCATTTCTCCAGAGAGACCCAAGAAAAGAGGTGCGCAGTACTCCAGATGAGGGAAAACTAGCAGTTTGACAAGCTGCAACCGAGTATTTTTCGGCAAACTCTCCTTGCAGCTTCAAAGACGAGACAATGAGCCAAAGCACTTTTCAGAAACCGCAGTGCAATGAGCTCTGAATGTTAGCTCGCTGTCTAGAACAACTCCAAGCGCATTAACTTCTGATGAAAACTCTATAGGGATATTGCCCTTAAGAAGAGCAGGTAAATCAGATGAAGCTTGAATCTCAGTTAAGTATGCTTTGGAGGCCACCTATGTGACCTTGGTCTTACTGCGGTTGTTTAAAAGACCATTAGCCATGGCCCACGAAGAAGCAGAACCAAGCACACCACCGACTCGGTCAGCAATCATTTTCACTTCTTTAACACTGCCCGAAGCATATATGAAAAAATCATCAGCATATTGATGCGTACTGACATTAGTGCACATGTCGGGAAGGTCATTCACGAACAAGGTGAAGAGTAGTGGGCCTAAAATTTTGCTTTGTGGTACCCCACATGAACGAAATAGTGCCTACAAGAGTTCTCCATTGGGGCACGAACCATTTGGGTGCGATCAATCAGATAGGAAATAACCCAAAGACACGCCATTTCAGAAAATCCAATAGACGCAAGCTTATCGATCAGCAGTTTAACATTGACAAGATTGAAAGCTTTGGTGAAGTCTGCAGACACCAGAAGCGTCACCTGTCTCCTATCGATCGCTAGCTTTAAATTATCAACAATCTTGATCAGTGCAGTACTAGTGCTGTGTTTTTTACGGAATCCTGACTGAAGTGGATGGAGCAGGGAATTATCCTCAACAAAAGAAAGCATCTGCCTATATGCCAATGCCTCGAGGAGCTTGCACGATTCACACAAGATACGGATGGGACAAAATGAGTCGGGCGTTGTCGCTGGCTGTCGTTTAGATGTTAGGATTATTATGGCCCTTTTCCAAGCTGCGGGGGAATGACCAGTCTGCAGTAAAGCATCGAAAATATCTAATAAAATAAGAAATATTATATAGGCATGCTTTGTTTAATAAATAATCTTTAGAGTTATATGTTAAAATTATAAGTTGCAAAAAATAACCGTTTAAATTTTACTTGTAAATTTTATATTACAATTCTACGCAAGTCTTTGCGTCGAACAAGGCAATGGTGGATTAAGGACTCACTTTGTTATTGCCATTAATATTATTATTATTTACATTATAATAATAATAATAATAATTTTTGTTACTAGTACTATTATTAATATCGTTATGATTATTATCATTATTAATATTATTATTGACATTATGATTTTTTTTGAGGTTGTCCACAATGCCTTTACGCATGATAAAAGAGGGTACGGTACGGGCCCCATTCATGTGTGGGACCCGCTGTCTTTGTATCAATAGAGACTGAATACCTACTAAACTGGCAATACCTATCTCCTGAGAGCACCTGGCTTGGTAACCGCATTCTCGTACAACCTCAAGCCGGGGCCTCTGAGACTTTGAACTTGGTACAGGCTTCCTCTGATATTTCGTCACCAGCGCGTCTACTAGAGCGTTTTTTAGTTGTTGATATTTTTCTGAGAAACTGTCCCCTATATAATTAACGGGAGGGTGTAGACGCTTCCTAGTTGAAGCACAGGTTTGGGCACCCCTACCTTTAGAAATGCGAAGAGCGCACCACCGCAGAGCTCGAGATTTATTATCATTATTATAGTTATTATGATAAATATTATTATCATTACTATAATTATTATTATACAGACTTAAATACTGAGTTTTTTGTCGTCTTAAGTGATAAATCGAGTAATCACTTGTGTGATAGTAAAGATCGAGTAAAGTTCCTCTATGTAACCTTTCCAATAGAAATAATTAATTTTTAAAATATTCAGAAAAATAAAAATTCTGCTTTACGGTACTTAAGCATTAACTCAATTAACAATAGAGAAAAAAACCAAAACTTAAACTTAAAGTTTCCTCATAAACATATGTCACTTTAATTGCCTAGAGGAATAGTCTGCCAGTAGTCGAGGCAGTCAAGTATCACAACTTATACTTTTGCACTGAATGCTCTAGGATTCAAGTCTCCGTTACGGCATTTTTTTTTTTTTTTTTTTATTTCGATACTACTAATTATAAAATTTTTTCAATAATTGTATTTTATTTTCATGTTTACATTGCATAACGAATACTCTTAGTTAATTTATTAATGGGGGATTTTCATAGATTTAAATTAATTTTTGTAACAATATAATGCTAATAACGGGGTACATCTTTGTTAACATGAAATCCTTATTTAGATGGATGTACAACTATAATTAGTATATTTAAAAATTGTTTAAAGGTGATAAAATAACTACTTATTTTATGCCGGTTTAATAAAGTGTTAGGATTATCACTTTCAAAGAGGATCACACCTTTTATATAGTCTTAGCAACCACATAAAATATTGCTCCATAATTAATAAGATCATTATCAGAGAAATTGAAAATAAATTTTTTCTGGATGATTTTTTAATCAACGAATTAATAAAGTCGAGCGTCACCACACGAGCTCTTATGAAGAGCAGTGTTTCTCTGCGTTTCATTTTTGAAGAACAATACACGAAATTTTCGTTGCCATCTCTGCTCTTGTAGCTTGCATATCAAATACATGAATTTAATATGTATTTTGTTAGTGTTTGTGATAAAGAAAAAAAAACATCTGTAATACAGCACTTAATTTTTTGTCCCTTACATTATAATGACAAACTAAGTCACGATGTGTATATATATATATATTGCGGGGTATTTTTCTTATGTGGGATGAGATGGAACCAGGAGCACAATGTATTAAATAATAAAATTCGAATAATTATAATTCAATTCCAAAATACATTCAAAGCTCTTGTCTTATAAAATAGTTACAAGATTTGGTTTCGACGCAATGACTAATTTATCGATATAATGAAAAAAGAAAATAAGAAAACATAACGTAGTTGTTAGGAACTATTCAACCCCCAATTAATCATGGATTTAAAATAAACTCAATGATATGTTTTTTCTCGTTTGCACGACTCACTCTTTCGTATCTTAAAATTATACAACTTTTTGGATTAACTTGCTTCGTAGAGCATTAACGCTACTTCTCCTGTAACAATGATATAATATTTAAATCACGAGAACGCCCCTTTTTTATACAAGTCTAACACGATATTTACGACTGACGTGGCTCTAGTATATCAATAAATCATAACTTAATTAGTTCGACAACATACTTCAGACTTTCGTTGTTATTTTGATTTAAGAACCATTGAACGCAAAATAATAATTGTAAATAACAAAATTTGGATTCGCCTAGACGATCTCTCTCATGAACGAGTTTTACGTACTAATGGACAGTAATTAAATATTGAAGCGAAATCCCTTACACTCTATACTCTATTGGACTCAATAATCTCTCGGATATAATATTGAAAAAAAAAACATAAAGAGTACAATTGTGGGCTAATCGCAAAATCAACGGGATATATCGGCTAGACAACACGGTAGCACGATATATATAAACAACAAAAGAAATAAACCTCAAAAAGAAAGATATAGGCTAGTCAGACAGCAAAGAAATATGAGTACGCCTACGAAGCCACCGCAAGGGATTTATTGCTTCTGCGACGAGGAATTATCGTAATGATAATTCACGAACTCCTTTCAATTGCCTATTAAATAGTCCCCTTTTACTCACGCAGACCGGGAGGAGAAAACAGGCAGAGGCGAGAGGCTTGGGATAAAGAAGACCTTATTCCTGGAGAGGACCCGGAGAAAAGAGCCAGCGGTTGCTGAGCACCCCTCAACCGTTCAACTTGATTAGGTCCGGTTCATGAGGAACTCTTCCTCTGAATGCCACTCCCGTCTTTTCTCTCTAGCCTCTCCCTGCTTTTCCCTTTCCCTGTGGCAAGCCGCCGAAACCGATGCCTGTATTCGGGCATTTTCGCGTTTCCTCGCCCCCGGTCAGGGCCCCACCCGTCTAGTCCCTGCAATATATGTGTGTGTGTATGTGCTTGTGTGTGTGTGCGTCTACGTGTGCATTTCTGTGTGTATGGTTGCATCATTTCAAATGTTTCATAGCTCATTAATTTCTTCAACTTCAGAATCGTTGTATTCAGGCCCAACTAAACTTTCTTCATTCTCTTGAATAACTTACTTTATCAGTTTTCGAGTTATGAGAAATTTCATTTGTACCAATAGAAACTGTTACATCTTTAACCAGAGAATTCTCACTCGAGCCGATAGCATCCGTTGACAACCCGTATCTAAAATTTAAACGGTCCATTCAACAAGTAGGATAATTATTAAAACCACACCTCTCTCGGAACCGTGACTAAGTATACTTGAAGCTGAATGGTTATTTTCTCAATGGATAAATGGTTCACCTTCTGAGAGTCAGAAAATTGTCGCAACTTTAGTTTCATGGATACATTATTATAAAAAAACGTTTAGTGAAGTAACGGCATCAATTTTTTGTGTAAAGGGGAGGGGGTGCATTTTTTGGAAGCCATTTTCGGACACTAAAAGTGTCCCAATTTTAACACAAATGGCATCTTCTGTTTACAGTTTTTTTTTGTTTTATTAATTAGATTTGGTTACGGCAATAATATCACTAAGACCATATGGCACATTGCACTTTCTTAACTACCACGTAACTCAAAGAACGAGATTAACTACCACGTGATCAAAGAAAGAGATCACGAAAATACATGTGAATCTCAATAAACAATAACGTTTTTTAGCTTTTGTTAACATTGCAGCAATTTTTCTCTTTTAAATACTTCATGCTCAGCTTTTTAGTTTGTAGCTGTCGTACTTAAGTTGAAAAACGATTGCTTTACACTGATTGAATCCCACGTTTCAACTAATTGCGTCCCATCTAGAGAAAGAGAGATAGCTACTACCAAAACTCGATTTGCCACGTCACCTTGGAAGGCTGCGAATAAATGC